ATTCAAACGGAGACCCACGCCTTGTGCACCAGATTGTCGCCGGAAATCTTGGGTGGCTAATCGGCTGCAAACACTTCCAAGTTGGACATATTTTGAAAATGTGTTTTGGTTGAAATAAATTCCATTCAAAATCAACACATGCTGCCATTTGAAATTAATGGATTTACAACATGTTCTATAAAAATGACATGATGAAACTATGCAATGTTTCCTGCCCAACACAAATCCCGAAAACCCCTAGATTTTCGTGTTTTGGCCTGGAATACATGCAAAAACATATAAAACTGCAATTGGAAAGCCAAGTGTTGATTTTGGTGGGTTTCCCCAATCAAGGCCAGTACTGCGCACGTTTTTTCAGGAGCAAGATATGCAGATATTGCACATCATACTATGCTGCACATATCGGGCGGGGACTTGAAAGTTCGGTCGCATTTCCACACATCTTTCATACGCTGTTCTGCGCACCACGCATACTTCGTACTATGTTGGGTTTTGTTGGTGAAGAATTGTTTGAAGATTTTTTCCACTTCCTGGTGCCATTTGCCTTGTATTTGCAACTGTTTGGAACTAGAACCTGTCATTTTGCATGGTTTTTGCTAAAACCTTCCATTTTGCATTGTTTTTGCTAGATTCACCTTCTATTTTGTACGGTATTTGCTACATTTTGGCACCTTCTATTTTGCACGGTGTGTTCACCTTCCATTTGCACCGTATTTGCTACATTTTGGCATCTTCACCGTCTTTGTTGCACGGTATTTGCTTATTTTTGGTACTTAAACATTTCATTTTGCATGTATTTGCTACATTTGTGCACTTCTAACGTTCATGTTGCATGGCATTTGCTACATGTTGGTACTTAGAATTTCCATTTTGAATGCTATTACTACATGTTTGTTGTCATTGTTCTGGTTGTTGTGATTGTTGTGGTTATTGTGGTGTTGGTGGCACAAGGGTGGACCTTTGAACAAACTGTTTCGTCTGATTGCTGGAAGTTGGAAACCAACATTTGCGCAGCATTTGGTACTTGAATGTTTCAAATTGTTGATTAGTTTGGTTAAGAATTTCCAGAAAAACATCGTGAGATGCACATCAATGGCAAAAAACATGCATCAAAAGGACGCACGGGATGAGATACCATGTCAAGTAAATAGATAAACTAGTAAATGAAGAAATGTGTTTTTTCATACGTATAAATAAGTGTCTATATATATATACGTATGTAAATGTATATGTATATGTATATGTATATGTAAATGTATATGTATATGAAAATGTATATGCATTTGTAAATGCAAATGTATATGTATATGTATATGCATATATATATATATGTATGTGTATATGGGGTACTGACACTTCGAACCAAATCAACACATGCAAAGCAAACATATGAGAAACCAGAGTTGACGTGTAACATTTACACTCAGCACATCCCTCAAGCAAAGCCCTATCCCTACGGGAAATCGACCATGTGTGTAAATTCAGCTGAAGCAACGCAAGCAATCGGAACACTCTGTTTTGACACGGGGGTTGCACGATCTTGCCTCTCCCATTTCACATCGTGCAAGCTCCTGTGTTTAGAAACTCCAACAGTGCTGACAAGCATGCTCTGACATCTGCTGAAACATTAGAATTGTCAACCAGCAAAGGGTGAGGGACACCACGTGATGGAAAGTCGCTGATGTTCGTTTTTGTTAGAACCCGTGCAAAGCATGCTCGTGAACCTGCCAACGTCTCAAGCTTCAAGTGGTACTCCATTAGTAGCTCACCATCAACGCCAGTCGAAGTTGCTTTGATAAGCGAAACCTAACACCATCATTGTCACCAAAATGAACTGACAGCTTATCACCATTGTCTCCATCCACAAGTTCAGCGAAACAACTGCCGCAAGAAGTTCCAGTTCATAAATGTTGGTGCCCTTATCAAAAGCGCCTAGTTGCTCACGCGTCTTGCAGTCAAGCGCAATGCCAAACCACGCCGTGACTTCTGAAGACGCATTGACAAGAACACCACCCAGGCTGCCATTTTTTTCCTCTGGTATGGTCGATTAAGCTCAAAGGCTCGGTCCTGAATGTAAACATAGTAAAAGAAATCCGAGACAGAGATACCTGTTATCTCTGCACAAACTGTACAAAATAGGAGGTGGCAAATACACAAAACCGTAAACCTTGCGTAGGGTAGAAGTGCACATCCCCCGGTCAGATATGCGTATCCACCCACGCAGAAAACAAGGCACCACAAAAACCACAAAACAAACAGAACGAGGCCGGAGCCCAAAAGCAAACAACCAACACACGCCACCAAGGGCATTGATGGGATTTGTAACCCACCAATGCAGAAAGCAAAAACATGCAAAAAAAACAAATCAAGATGGAGCCAATCAAATTCAAAGCACTAAAGACATAAATGTGCAAGAACCAGTAAAACTGTACATCAGCTCAAAACTCGCGTCACTCAGAGTCCTCTCAGTAGTTCTCTTCCTGGTCATCCCACTCAGAGTGCTGGTAATTGCCAAAGTAGAAAGGTGCAGAGTTTCGTTGAGGCGATGTCACATCCACTGGTCGAGGCATTAAAGACAGCAGCCCCCCGAAGGGGGCAAGGCCACCAGCAGCCAGACAAAATAAGCAAATGTATTGGCCATGGAGACAGACAGCTTCGTATCATATTCATCCAGGGCGGTGCGTAATCACTCCAGCAAAATTGCATTGGCCAATTCAACGAGTCCTTGGGGTTCGATCTCCTCCTCCGTGTGTATCCTCGTTCACAGCTCTGACGGCATGGGCATCCTGAAAGGCAATGGCGTAACGAGGACACTGACCGCATACACAAGGCTCGTCACATTCAGAGTCTTCACGTAATTATTCCAAGTCATCGTAAAAGGAGTGTCAGCATTAGCCTGAAAGTTTGCACTTGTATTGGCCACGGATAGAGACACCTTCGTACCATATGTATCCGGGGCGTCACCTCATGAAAGACTTCGCATCAGGAGGACGACCAAAGCATAGACAATGACGCAACGCAAGTTGCAATCATCGATCACAGTGAATTAGTATCGTTGAAAGAAATTGAGTGCCCAGAGGAGTAGCGCGGCGACCTGAATGAGTAGCACAACAAGACAGCACGAGGAGCCATGGTCGCAGACTTTGCTGCTGCACGGGCGTACCGAGGGATACTCCACAGCGCAAGGCACTGGACAACTGCTAGACACAGTGGCCAGGGCCGAGCATTGCAGGATCACCGTCGGGTCATGGCACGAGCCGGCTACGGAAGCACCCCCAACCAGCCAGCACCCATCCCCAAGGCAGAAAAGAACATTGACAGAGTGGTACCTTAGTGGATAAAGTAACCTGAAAAAATAAACCTCAGCGGAGCTCAGACTCATATGGGTGAATTAAACAAATCGACTAGAGGCGCCGGCAAAACATAGAGGATTGTGTGGCAATGCTTGGGCAAACGCTTATATATAACTGTACGAGCAGTGCGATCCTTAGTAATTGCTTCGTCCTGTGTGGCTACCTTTGTACTCTGCCTTGGAAGAGACAGGTCAGCTCAGTGGAGGCACCGCCTTACCCTTGCACTTGGCACCTATCTCTATCATCGTTAAGATCACAAAATTGATGAGCATTTGGCACATTGAATCTAAGGACATGGAGACATCCTGATCCTAAATGGAAAGTACTGAACCGGCTGTCAGAGTCAGACACAGGCCGAAGAAGAGTCAAAGGGGAGGACTTAGCGGCAGTCCAGAAGACCAGGGTTAGGGGAGGTGGGGTCATACGATGCATGAAATGCAAGACCATCTCTGCCGAGTTTAGAGGAGAGGGGGCCAGGGCACTCCACATGGTGTAGAGGGAGATCCCCACACAGGGCCAAAGCGTTTGGTGCCATGCTTTGTTACCCTGGCACCAAACTCCACGACCCACAACGGATGCTGCAGATCCCAACCAAGCAAGCCTACTTAAGGGGCAAGCAAGGCAGAGCAACCGCACCAACCTGACCAGCGTAAGCCCCGATGAAGAGACCAGAGCCATCGGCTGGGAGATTTGCAGCAAACCACCAAGGATTGCTGAACCATCATCCTAACACCGGGCCTTCAAGCCGCAGGGAGGAAGGCAGAAGGAAGCAAAGCCAAGGGAGAAGGGAGAGGAGGGATCAAGTAGACGGGGAGAGCAGAACGCTGAGGTCTATAGGGCAGCCAGGAAACTACCTCACAAAGCACTGTGCAGTCAGGCACCATGTCAGCATTGTGCATTCCTTAGTCATGCAGGGGCTCCACATCTACTAGCATCGGTGCAAACCCAACCAATCCAGGGTTAGGAATGCACCAAAAGTACAACTTACAGACATGCCACTGAAAATGAGTGAGACAAAACCATGACAAACTAAATTCGAGGATGGGCAGTGCACTCCTTAGTCAACCGGGGCGTCACTTTGTCCTGGCAGAGAGGTACAAACCCGACCAATCCAGGGTCAGGAATGCACCAAGGAGGCGACTCATCAACATGCAACTGAAACACAAGTGAGACACAAGCTGTAACATAGTTCAATTCGCAGGTGAAACAAGCAGGAAAGGCGACAGAAGAATGCTATTTTGTAGTCGTTCAGTGGGTCAGGGGGCATTTGGCTCACTGTGGCGGACAGGAGCATCAGGTCTGCTCCGGGCAAGTGCCGCTTGTCCTCAGCAAGCATCGCGTGATACGTCGTGTCCAAGACGAAAATGGCAGGAGAGATCGCTTCACGCCTCGCGGCAGTGTTCCGGTGATTCTGCTTGGTCGCCTCAAAGGCAGCCTCTTCAGGTTTCTTGACTTTCCTTATTGGGGAAGTCAAAGTTGGCCCATTGCTGGTTGATGGCCACTTGAGACAGATAGTTTGCAGGCCGAGGGAAGAAGACACGACTTGCCAGCGTTTCCAAATCAAGTGTACACTCAGCAAACATGCGCCGGTGTCCAATCTTTTTATACTGACTTAAGGCGAACTGGTACAGGCTACCCTGAAGGTACCACGCACGCAGCAAGCTATAATCAGTGGGCCAATTGGAAGGGCACACCGCAGCATCTTTCCTCCAACGTTCGGCTGTGATGCCATTCTCAGATGGGGTGATAATCTCCAGGACTACCCGCGTCGCTCCCATAGGGACAAAGCTCAACATCACCGCTGGCTGAATCAGATTGTTACTGTACCCCTCAATCGTGGCACTAAAGCTGTTTCGTTGAGCATACTCAGTGTCGATATCCCATGTCGTGCCAGGGGCACGATTGTCGGCAAATCGTACCGCCAGAAGGTTGCCATCAGTGCGGGCTCCCGCAGTCTCGCCACTGGCCTCATCTGACTGTGGCGGCGGGGTACTTCGCACACTTTGAATGTAAACCTTCTGGACATTCTGATAGGAGCCAGCACTGCCCCGTTGGAAGAGAAATGAGGGCCGAGATGCGGCTGACCACGGTGACTCCAGATACAACCCGTGAATGCGGCGTCGGGCTGACCACTGCTTTAACTGGCCCACTAGGGGCTCTGTTTTTATTGGGACCCGATAGTTCCTGCGCCGCACCCAAGAGCTCAGATAAAATCGGTCTTACCCAATACGTGGCATAGAGCAGACATTGAATGTGAGGAGTGACCAATTCACTTGCTTGCCGCATGAGAGGTAGCTAATGTATTGAGCGAGGTGCTCGGCAAGTCATGCTCCGGGCACCACCATCGAGGGTGCGTTGGATGTCAGCTTCCCCCTTTCTGAGCCACAGTTCAACAGCTATGGCATAGAGGATCCGGGCCATTTTATCCTGAAAAGGCTGAAGCTCGATGGTGAGCTTGGCTTGCAACCACAGCTCCGGAAGAGGGCCGAAGCTGGCCGGGGAGAAGAAGAAATCTGGGCAGAGCTGCAACTGCGCAACCATTGTATCGAGCTTCTCCGCGGCTCCAGCAAGTTCCTCTTCTGTAGGGTCCTTCATACACCGCTTGAGCAAAGTCTACCTTGGTTTCTCTATTGCGGTGTGCCAGTATTGCCCGCCCATCGTGGGAGGCGCAGAGCCACAGGGGGGACCGATACGCGTCGGTTGCACACCCATAAAGGATGTCCAACGTAGCAGGAGAGGGAAAAAATCGATTCCGCGTTGGTTTGTGATGCTTAGATTGCGAGGAGAAACACTCGGCAACCTTATCCACCAGATTGAGCTTCAGCCTATTGACCAAGACAAGTTGGTAACGACGCATCTGCGGGAGCGGTTTACATACACAACTATGGCAATGGCTAGGGGGGCTTGTCTTGTGGTACAAAGGGTCCATCCACTTCCCATTCAAAGATGGCAGTTGTGTCCAAAGGAACTATTGCAGGGCAGTGTGACTGTATTTCTCCTGTGAAAAACCATACGCTGTGCGCAACGCTTCCATTAACAACTACAGGACTACGCGGGAAAACACGGACGCCAAACGCGAACGCAAAGTGTGTAGTCACAAAACCTAATTACACTAAAGCACTGCCGTGTCAAGAAACTTGTTTCACCCTCGACTCACACATGCTGACGTCGGACTCCTTCTTTTCGCTCCAGACGCAACACACACAGGAACGGGGAAACACAAAACACAACAAAACCGAAAGGAAAGGAACGTCCCAAGTTCCTGTGTGTTCTCTGTCTGTTTTATGCTAAACTAGGTGACACTGCGGCTCTGTTCATTAAATGAACTTACGACACCACTCCCTTGAGCCGATGTCTCAACTGGTAAACTCGATTCCAGGTTTCCAGCTAACAAACCTTGGTTCTTCTAGAAAAGGTTTGTTGAAACGATTCCAGCTGCTACAAACCTACAAATTCACCTAGCGACAAAAACATCGAAACACTTCCAAAAGTTCTCAAAACGAACTGGTTCTCATCCAAACGTGGAAAACCAGCTAGCTAACGCTAACCTAACGCTGACTAACGCTAACCTAACGGTGGCTAACGCAGTTAGGCTCTACTAAACATCTAAACCGGTCGCGTAGCTCTTCAAGAACGAAGTGCTTCATCCACAATCTTCTGTACAATGTTCTTCTGGATGCAAAACATCATTGGAACACAAAGTTCCATCTCCAAATCAGCTCGTCGCATAGAGATGACATCTCACAGCTTCCAACCTCAATGGACAACAGATCCTCTGTTCGACATCCTCAATGTAAGTCAGCCAAATACAGTTGTATCGCTGCACTCTTTCGACCACTGTAATAGCCAACTCACGTTGCAGAACAAGATCGTCATCTGGGATGATAAAACACAAAGTCCAGATCAAGTATCCGGATATCATGATGACGATGTAAGCATTCTCCTCACAATGCAGAAGCATCTCATCAGGCAAAATCTCGGACAAATAAGATGCGCTAATGTGATCATTGTCTTCACAATACCAATGCATCTCGCTGTCCAAAAGCTCAAATCAGATATGTTCTCCCCATCAGATGCCTTCAGCTAATACAAACCCTTATCCAAAGTTTCCAGCTGTATGCTCTCATCACTTGGAGAGTTCAAACTGCTCGATGTCAAAGACATGCTAAAAGATCTCAATGTCCAACCAATGTATGTATCTTCAGCTCAAGCCATAGGCCGTACCGGATTCAGGCAGGATCCGGAATAAGATGTGGAACTGATCAATACATCACATTCCAGGTCAACATCAATCACTGACACCCAAAAGGCATAAAGGTTGCAGATACCAGACACACGGTATTGTAGGATATCGTGTGGTCAAACTGCGGGTCAAATGCACAGATCTTTCCAACAACATGCTGAATGCTGTTCACCAATCTTCCGTGCATCAAACTCCACAAAAGCCTCACGATGAAGAATGACATGTCGCTCACTGTAGGTCACCCTTCCAGGTCACCCTCAGGGTGAGCAATTTTCAAACCCACTTTCGACATGGCGTTCCACCTCATTGACTTTCTCAGACACAATACAAATGTTCATATCCAGTATGGACAATAGCGTCCATATCCGCAATGACAAAAGAAGTATCCGCGGTTCCATGATCACGTCAGAAATCCAAATATAATCAAAATAATAAATTGTTCTTCCAGAAAAAAAAAGGTAGGTGATGAGACATCACCAAAACTGAAGCGAATCTTTGTACTCAAACTCTTCGGCTCCAAACTACTGTACGTTCATTCTCCAGTTCAGAGGCCAAAAATGAAAGCTCACTCCAACATGTCGAACTTCACGACAAAAATCATGGGGCTGGATCCGAGCCACCACCTTCGAAGGTACCCTTCAAATGGCCTTCTCAAGCCCCCTTGAAGCCCCCTTGAAGCCCTTCTCAAGCCCCCTTCAAGCCCCCTTGAAGCCCCCTTCACCTTGAAGCCCCCTTCAACCTCAAGCCCCCTTGAAGCCCCCTTGAAGCCCTTCTCAAGCCCCCTTGAAGCCCCCTTCAAGCGAGCCACCTTCAAGCCCCCCTGAAGCCTTCTCAAGCCCCCTTGAAGCCCTTCTCAGCCCCCTTGAAGCCACCTTGAACGGGTCTCAAGCCCCGCAAGTCTCCTTCAAGCCCTTCTGAAGCCCCCATCCAGCCCCCTGGAAGTCCGTCCAAGACCTTCCCAGAGGGCTCTTTTATGCAAGAACTTCTGTGCGACAACTTCGGTGCCCTAACTCCTGTGTAACAACGGCTGTTTAAGATGATGTAGATGATGTAGCTGATGTACATGACTGGTAGGAGATGTATGTCATGTAGATGAAGTTGATTTATGTGGGAGATGTGAAGGAAGTGAAAGTATAATACTACGTAGACGAACGTGGTAGCTGTTCTTGGGGAAATACTCTGCGCAGGAGCCTAAGCGAAAAATGACGACCATCAGGATCAGCTTTCCGAAACTGCGCAAACAATCAAGAAGTTCAGTGTCCTTCGACATCATGCCAAAAACAGCAACATACTGTACAACCAATGTTATCTCGTCCAAGCTGCCAAAAGATATATTCTCAGAACAAGCATGGAAAGAATAAAATATGGCCCATCCTGGTCGCAGGCTCTTGTGCAGACCGATCTCCACGTTGAAGAAGTTGTAGCATGGTGGTAGTCCTTAAATAAAGAGTTTGAATTTAGATCATGGCATTGTGGAAGGCAAGGGGGGGAAGTTTAAATCAAGAATTAGATTTTAGATCATGGGATTGTGGAAGGCAAGGGGGGGAACTTTAAATAAAGAGTTAGGTTTTAGATCATGGCATAGTGGAAGGCAAGGGGGGGAAGTTTGAATCAAGAGCTAGATTTTAGATTATGGCATAGTGGATGGCAAGGGAAGGCAAGTTTAAGTAAAGAGGTAGATTTTAGATCATGGCAAGTTTAAGTAAAGAGGTAGATTTTAGATCATGGCATTGTGGAAGGCAAGGGGGAGAAAAGTTTAAATAAAGAATTCGATTTTAGATCATGCCATTGTGGAAAGGCAAGGGGGGGGAACTTTAAATAAAGACTTAGAATTTAGATCATGGCATTGGAAGGCAAGGGGGGGGAAGTTTAAATAAAGAGTTAGATTTGAGATCATGGCATTTTATTTCCAACTCCACAACAAAACACACATACACACAACACTAACAGAAGTTTTCAGCGGAGCTGACAAAATCACCTTTGCCATGCACTGAAATTGTGTTTGCTCTTTCTGGAAAAAGGAGTCACTGGAAAAAACGATCGTCGAAAATAAACGCATCGCAAAAACGAAGTGATTTGAAAACAGAAGAAGCTTGCAGCTGAATCCCTTTCTTTTCAACGCAGATGGGGCGAGGTCTCACCTATCCGGCTCCTAGGCTTAGGGATAGTCATTTTGAAAAAGACAGGGTGGGTAACACAACGTGTTGGGTGGGACAAGTCTTTTGTCAAAATTTTGGACAATCCCAACCCTCCCTACCCTTGAGAGAATAAGACATAAGATATACTGAAAGTGTTCTTGTGTGTATGTGTGTTGGGTTTTGTGTTTTGTTGTTTTAGCAAATAAAACAAACACAAACACAAAACTGGTGGTTGCGTGAGGAAATAAAATCGAGTTTCTTTTCAAGAAACTCTCAACTTATTTCCAACTCCACAACAAAACACACATACACAACACTAACAGAAGTTTTCAGCGGAGCTGACAAAATTCGCGGTATTCGCCATGTCGAACGCGTTATAAACACTGTGCACTCACCTTTGCCATGCACTGAAATTGTGTTTGCTCTTTCTGGAAAAAGGAGTCACTGGAAAAAACGATCGTCGAAAATAAACGCATCGCAAAAACGAAGTGATTTGAACAGAAGAAGCTTGCAGCTGAATCCCTTTCTTTTCAACGCAGATGGGGCGAGGTCTCACCTGTCCGGCTCCACCCCACCTAGTTCAAGGTGATGATTGAGCCTCCCAGTCCATGACGGTTCGGCCAATACCACGCTCTTCGAACCAGGTTGTGATGAGCCTACTGGCGCCATCTGAAGGATTGCTCTGGCTTGGGCATCTCCCGAACCATGTGCGATGCTGCATTTCTGACTCCAGGCAAACGAAATTGTGAATCATGCCGCTGGCGAACACGGTTTCTCCGGATCCTTTCACAAAGCCATCCGTGAAGACTCATTGTCTGTATAATAGACTACGAGAGCCCTGGCAAACAAACGTCCCCAAGCAAGGCAAGCTCCAAGAGCTGGAAGAATCTCAAGCTCGTGGATGGGGTTCTTTGAAAACCTGAAAAACTCCGACAGCACGTTCTTGGGCACAGTCTCACTAAAGAAAGAGTGGCAAACTCCACAAGGAGAGATTATGAGGCCTCCTATGCTCCCTTCTTGGCTCTCTGGAGCGCAAGCACCATCTGTAAAAATGATCCAAGTGTCGCACATCTGCCTGCCAACGGTTTTGGGCGGTGCGCTCAGCACCATATCTCTCAGACCGCTCTTCAAAGAATTGTCTAAGCGTTTCTTACTTCCTTTCTCAGAGTATCTTTGGAACCAGGGAGGGTGAACCTGATCAATCTGCCCCGAAA